TCTTGAGAGAATTGGGGCTTTTTGGATGTATTGTAGTCTTTGGACTCTGCTCCAACTTGTAGTATTCTTGATTAAATTCATGTTGTATATGAAACTCCTTTATACTGAGTCATACTATTGCTCCATCTAGTCCTATATTGTCCACTCTAACTGGCAGCAGTCCTCAAGGGTCACCAGCAAAGGTGTTACCAATCATTTGCCATTTAAGCCATTTAACTGTGGATGCTAGAGACTGAACCAAGCACGCTCTACAACTGAGCTATGGTGCCTTCTACTGTACTCGTCATATTCGTTCACTTGTATTATTTCCATCTTGGGTAAGAAGCAAGAGATTCCCGTTTTCTGTACTGTCACATTTTGTGCTTGCCCTGTGCTATGCTCATAGAGCAAATGCATGGGCACATATAACACGCCGAACTCTCAGTATTATTTTACCAGCACAAAAAAATTAAATAGTGCAGTAAATTAAAATGTCTTTTTGCATTTTGAAATAACTAAACTCATTATATAGGCCTACATAGGATAGGCCTTACTGAATGCATGGGGTTGACCTCTGAGCAAACATGCATCAGGTGTGGCTGTATGCATTGCATATGAAAGCACTTTTGAAAATTTATCAGGCTGTGCTCTATCTGGCAAAAATGAACTTCTCTGTAAGCCACAGCAAGAGAAAGGCTTGCTTTTTTAACAACAACAACACTGGAACTTCTTTTATTCCAGTGATGCCTGTGTAGATGTGTGAAGCAGAGGACTGCATAGTTAACTGTGCCTAGGTTGCTATGATTGTCTTGAAGCATGTCCAAAAGCACCTTAAATCACACCCCCATAGCTCTAAAGTTGACAAGGAAATTGGGCAGCATGGTTCATTGCCATCTCCACTTAAATGCCCACTTAAAGAGTAAATTATTTCCCCTCTTTAATTTGTGATGCCTGGTGCAAACGTTGACAAAATGACAACGAAAACCCCTTCTGAATGTTTTTGATATCCTAACACCGTTGCCGGTCTAAGCGGAAAACACTGTGTTGAAATACAGCTTGCTGCCTTTTTCTGTGTTAACAAGAGTTCTCCCTCCCCGCACTCCAGTTCCCTGAACTTGTTGACAAAGTGTGCATGCAGTGTTGAGTGGAGAACTTGCTTTGAATCTCTGCTTTCCTTAGCCAGAAACAGAAAACCAGCTGTGGCTGCTCAGATATCTTTTTGCAGAGTATGTGGAAATGATAACTCAGGTCTGGCCCTACCATTTGGCTGCTATAATAGGTTACCTGGCTCGTTATATTTGCCTTAGCAGCAAAGGACACAAGCCTTTCCATTCCTGATACTGCCTCACTAATGTTATATTTTTTTGGTGAAACAAATGCACCTACTGATATTCAGGGGAGGGTGGGGGAAGAAGGGAGGTCTGGCCTACTTACGTATTTTATGTTTACTTAGGTTTACTTCATGTTTACTTATATATGAATATAAGACCGGGCTGGTATCTGCAAGAGACATTTTAGGATATATTATGCCTTATACCAGGAATTTGTAGTGAAAAAGGTACAGGGATTCTGTGTGGTCCTTCAAATGTTGTTGGACTCTAGTTCCCATCAGCCCCTACCAGCAAAGTCAATGGGGAGAGATGATGAGAGCTGTAATCAAACGACCTGCCAGTTTCTCATACCTGGACTAGATGGTCAATTCTTGTTCAGCTACAAAGTACCCTCAGGTATTCTATGAGATCCAATGGTGCCCAGATCAAATTAACCACATTTGGAGTCCTGAGTGAGTGTGTATATGATGAATCTTCAGCCTATAATTTTCCTTGAGACTATGGTCTGACTCAGATTTTCACTATGGGAGCCAGAAACAACACATTTCTGTTTGTATTGCATCTTGCTAATCAGGAAAAGATCCCAGTTGAACCAAAACCAATAGACATTAATTGGAGATGCATGCTATGGAAGCTGTTATTCTCCCCATGACAGATTTGCTGTAACCATGGGCCAGCTGGATGCGAATTGCCGCAGCTCAGGTAGAACGACTAGAAGCTCCCAAGATCCTGTGGTTCTTCCCTTTTCCTGGTGGCTTATTTCCCCCAAAAATGATTTCCTTATGTTAATCTGGACCCTGAACCATCAAGTTTAGCAAACAGCAGAGCAGCCCCAAGGGCCCAAAATGGGTGGCAAGGATGGAAAATTTGATTTTGTGCCACTCTGTGCAGGCTGCTTGGAACTTTTAGCTCAACCACAGTGGTGGCTGTGATTGGCATCATCATGTTATCCTGATGATAGGATTTATTTATTTGTTTAACATACCTAATAAGATGCTGAATAATGTGGAATCATAAAATTACCAGAAATGCTGAAATGTGTCAAAGTGACCCAAGTAAAGAATTGCTGGGGTTCTGAGTGTACATTTTGCTACTTAAATGTCAGATGCTCCTAATTTACATCTTAGATGGGTTTCCCTACATAACTAAATAAATTCATGTGAAAGATGAAGTATTCTAGTCCCTGATCAATATAAAATATGTACATATAATTTCTCTCTTTTCTTATTGTTGCTCATCCAACTCTTCTTCACATGTTCCTTCCAAGCTGTGGGAATAAATGTGCACTTTATTCCAAAATGCTAGGCATGCTAGGAAACTTAGAAATTAGGATGTGTTGTGGGATTTAGAAATTAGGTGGTTTGGAAGAAAAGAGGAGGTTAAATCTTCAGCTAGAATAGGAAATAGAAGTCTAAGATTGTTATTCAACTAAGTCTCACTTATTGCTTTCTCAGTGTTGAACATTGAAACATTTGTGTTGAACATTGAAACATTTGTGCAAGGCAGCTGGAGATTTAAGAATCCCTGCAAAATGTACATTTGGATCCACATCAAAATGAAGATATAATTATTTATCTGATTGAAATCAATGGACTCCAAAAGCAGCAGAATGCACGTCTGAATGCACACGTAAACATGCATCCTATCCATACATGCTTTGTCTTGGGTTCAATCCCTGGCATTTCCAGTTAACAGGATCAGGCTGTAGGTAATGGGGCAGACCTTGAAGACTCCAGAGCAGTGCTGTCAGAGCAGATGATATTGGGATAAATGAACAAATGACTTAATACAAGGCAGGTTCCTCTGTTACTACACAGCTATACAACATCCATATTCAAACCCACATCTGATTTATGCCTGCAGTTCCCAAAAATGAGGATACCTGAGGCTGTTGGGAAGAAATGAAATGAAGATGCAAATTTTATACACCCCTAACTTTTCTACACCCCTAGCATGTTTTAAAACAAAGCATTACTCTCTGTCTTTGACAAAGGCCAGACACAAGACATAAAGGTATTATAGTCTTTATGAATCACAGAGAAATTGTCACTAGCTAGACAGTGGAAGAAGTCAGGTGATAACCTAATAAATGGATACTGCCAACAAATGTGGACAGTTGCTTTAATGGGAAAAAAGCAACTCCTCAAATTAAGGTCCAAAAAGACTTGAGAGAAACTAAAGACAAACTTCAGGCAATGGTTCTGCTTTATCCTGGCAGCCTCCATCTGCTCATAGATTTCTATGGAAAGACAATATAGGATAACTCCTTACGAAAAATGATTCTTACCAGTGAAATCCACTTAACAAGAATATGAAGAATCCTTCTGTAATGTACTATACTCAAGGCCTGTAGATTGTTATTGTTTTATAAGGATGGTTAATGTACGTTGAAAATAAAATATCAATTTATTTTTAAAAAAACACAGAAAAAAAAGCTTTTGAAAGGTATACTGTTAATGTGATTTGGTAGCCGCATTTTATAAAAGAGAAATCATATAGTTTCAAAACAGCTTTCAAGCTTTCGGCATGAAACTTGTCATTATTGCATCAAGATATATGGGGTGCTTTTATGTTTGGCCCTGCCAATACTTTATAGAATTGCCAGGGTCTCTGAAGTTGGCCCCAAGAGATCTGCATTATTTTTTATTCTGTTTTGTTATTGGATTGTCACTCTCTGTATCCTGCAACTGCTCTAAGGACTTGATTAAGCTGCTATGTTGTTGTGATATGGTAGTAGGTTTTCATAGTGCAATCAGTTCTTTTTATCCATCAGTACATGAAAGCCAAGGACCAAAAGCCCCAGTCCCGCAGCTGTGTTTCCATTGAGTTGGTTGCTGTTTTGTACAGACAAAATGCTTTGGGGATGGGGGTGGCGGGGGAGTGTTTGGCATTTTCAAGCAGATCCATCAAGAAAATAGTTATGACTATTCAATATGCAAAAAAGAGAGCTGAAAACTTACATTCTCTCTGGGAATTTGAGCTTCTTTCCATGAAATACTAACAAAAACCATTGTATGCTATGCTTAATTGAAAACAATTTGGAGTTTTGAAGCAGATGGGGGAAGGGGAAGTTTTCTCTTTTAGCGAAGCTTCATTAACTTTATTATATTTTGCATAACTGGAAACCTTTAGGCATTATTCTACAATAACCAAATAATTACATGCTCAGTACTTGCCATGTGCTGGCTTTTGTAGAGGAAGTCAATTGAAAGGTATGGAACATATGAAGTGTCTTATATTTAGTCTGACTATCAGTCCATTTAGCTCTGTGTTGTCTACACTGACTGGCAGCTGCTCTCAAGGGTTTCAGACAGGGAACTGTCCTGCTTGGAGATGTCGGGGATTCAACTGATGACTTCCTGCAGGTAAAGCAGATACTACAGCCTTTCCCTATATGCCATTATGAAGCCTAGGATCTCTACTGGACACAGGCATTACTCTTCTTTGTGGCTGTCAGGGGTTTGCAGTGCAGCTCCCAGGTCTGACTCTAGCGATATGTGACCAGTTAAGGAGTGTGACTGGTGTCTTCCAAATGTGCACTTGCACATCTTCCACTTGCACACCTGGCCCAAAACAAAATTAGCAGAATAGCACCCCCTTCCTTTGCCGTTGCCATGAATTCTTAGAATTGTAGAGTTGGAAGGGAGCACGAGTGTCATCTAATCCAACCCCCTGCAATGCAGGAATCTTTGGCCCAACATTGGGCTTGAACCCATGACTTTGAGATTAAGAGTCTTATGCTCTACCAACTGAGCTCTCCCATTCCCAATAACAAATGTGCTGCATTTCTTCATTTGCACAAGAGCCCAAAGTGAGATTTTCCTGGTACCGTTCCAAATGAAGACTTGTTTTTGACAGCCAGAGTTGAGCAGGGTGGGACCAATTCTAATTTAATGCTGCTGTTTTTGGTATTTTAAGTTATTGAGTTTGTTGGATTATGGCTTTCGTCTCTTTACCCTTGCTAAACCCTTGGAATGGAATGGGCTGGAAATCTATTTATATAAACCCAGTTCCCAACATTCTGTCCCATTCTCTTGACATTCCATCCCACTGTATTGCGATGGGGGTGGGGATAGGGAACAGAACAAGGCTGCACATATTGGACTAGTCTTGAACCTGAATGACTGGGATCAGCCCAACTGTGTCTCCAAGTCTCTTTATATTTCCCCATTTGTCAGGATTGCAATGGATGGGAATAGTGAGGCTCTTTGTGACGTTTTCAGAGTGCACTGTAGCACCCACTCTCTTCATGAGAAAGCCAGTGTGGTGTAGTGGTTAGAATGTTGGACTATGACCCAGGAGACCAGGGTTCAAATCCCCACGCAACCATGAAGTTCACAGGGTAACCTTGGGCCAGTAGCTGCCACTCAGCCTAACCAACCTCACAGGGTTGTTGTGAGGATAAAATGCAGAATGAAATAACAATAGCAAACCAGCATACTGTACCAGCAAGTGGCAACACAATAATGGGTCTTTTGTAGTGGTTCCCTGTTTGTGGAATGCTCTCCCCAGGGAGGTTCGTTGAGAGCCTTCCTTATACATCTTTAGGTGCTAGGTGCAAACGTTCCTCTTCAACCAGGCCTTGGGCTGATTGACATTCTACGTCATTTTAAATGTATTTGTGGGAGGGGGGTTATTGTTTTGTTTTGTTTTAAATATTTCTGTTGTGCTTTTACCCTGTATTTTTATCTTGTCAACCACCTGAGATCTTCAGATGAAGGGTGGTATATAAATTTAATACATTTAATAAATATAAATATAAATCATACTTCACCAAATGTCAGCTGGTATTTAAATACCCCAGCCATAAAGGAGAATGAGGAGCTGGAGGGATATGCGAAGATCATAAAAAGCTGTTCTCGAAGTGGACTGCTTCACGTTGCTTCATGGGAAGGCTAGCCCTGACCTCAACTTGTAACAGCTGGACAAATGTGGTTGTGTGGAATTAATTTGTTAAAAGAGGTGCCAAAGCAATTGCACAAAACGACATTAAACTTGACTCAAAAAGACTGCTAAGCAACAATCCTGGAATAATTCCACAGTAGTCCATAGTGTTTCTCCAAATGAAGTTGTCTGATCATTGCAGCTTAACTGGTTTTAAGAATTATAATACCAGTACTAGACTCATAATTCAGCAACAACCATTTAGAAACAGTTGTTCCTCTCCAAAGAGCTAAATTTGAAATGTATTTTCTATAAAACAAAATATGTATCAGCTTAAACTCCAGCATTAGTTTATTTCTTATGGTTTCTGACATATGGGAAACTCAATGGGATTACAGTGCTTTCAGTTTACATGCCTATTTGTGCTCTCCAACTTGCTGATGGAATATACTGTAATTTGTTGCACAAATTCAATCGAGGGAATATTTATCAGTGCTTTCATAATAGATGCTTGGTTATCTCAGTGAGTCAAATTGGGGTCTGTGTGACCCCCTACAAAAGGTTGCCCAACTGCATAAGAGCCAACTCTTAGGGGCCATGGGGCCTCCACAATACAATATTTGAGGGTGCTGGGCCCCCACAAAATTGATGGGCATTCTCATTAAAATGGTATGTGTGCACTGCGTCGTGTTTGATTATGAGGGGCAGGGCTTACCTGGGCCCCCACAATATTTTATTCAAGTTGGCATCCCTGCCCTACTATGTATGTATCCACCACTTTTCATAATTTTAAACAGAACCTCTAGAATGGAGGGGAAATAACCATCCAGAATGAAAGTTCTTGCTTTGATTTGACATCATGGTGCCATCAAGCAGCCAAATCTGATCAGCTACTGACAGCAAGCCAGAGGAAGGTGCTTTTCACTGTGATTAAACTGGGGGGAATCATTACCGTACATAGCTAAATCTGATTGAGATGCCATTATCATTGCCTAAACAATCCCCAATTGATTGGGATTGCATCAGAAAGAAGCCCCACTTTAAATAAATAAATTTTAAAAAATGTATTGAAATTGCAGATTAGAGGGGTGGCGGCGGAAACCATCTGGAAACAATATGTAAAAAATCACGACACTTTCTGGCCTCCCAAACAGCACTGCTATTCTAAATATTCGTGGTGGTAATGTTGTTGTGTTCAAATCCAAATCCTAACGTTTGCACAGATATCTGCCGCAAGCATAACACTGATGTTTCCTGATATCACATTAGTTGCAGTGATTTGGGTACATGCACCAGTTCTTCTGAATTGCCCTCCTGATGAAGCTGCAGATTTTAGAATTGGACCTAACTTACTTGTTCTCAGTCCTTATTACATTGCTTCTTTTATTCCTGGCATTTCCATCTATACTGAACATATGATACATGTTTAAATATCTTCTTAATGAACTGGGAGCATTTTAACGATGTGTCTAGTGACTTCTACAGATTTGCTTAGGATAAAAGAGCTATTATCTGTGAGATTTAGTACCTTTAACTTGAATTAGAAATGGCAAGGAATATGCAGGTTTGCTTCCTTTGCAGTTTATATGGCCTTCTCTTCTGACATGATATTTAATAGGTTTTGAAACCGTGCTAAATGTTGGAAGGAAGAAGATAACTACAGACTGCTTCTGTTAACATAGTCACCTTTAAAAAAATAGAAGCCTTTTACCATTATATGACATATGGATCTTCAAAAACTTATTTGCCAAACTATCATTAAAACTCATTCATCTAGTTTCAATGTTCTTTTCTCTCCCTACACACCAAACTCACACATTTGTTGAGCACAAGGCACACAAAGTCCCCATCTTGCTGAAGGTCTAAACCTTGTCAGTGCTTGGATGGATGACCACCTGGGTTCCATGATGGAAGAAAGGTAGGGAATAAAATAAATAAAAAGGAAGTAAAATACTCTTACTCCATTCTACCACCTGGGTTGGTGGGGGTTTTTTTTGGGGGGGGGGCAGTTGCCAGCAATGGTGAAATGGTCCAGAGTAAAAAACCGTCATTAATCCTGCAGCAGGGTCCCTGTCTCCAGTGTCCAATTTGCATGAAAAGGGTACTTTCCTTCCTTCCTTCCTTCCTTCCTTCCTTCCTTCCTTCCTTCCTTCCTTCCTTCCTCCCTCCCTCCCTCCCTCCCTCCCTCCCTCCCTTCCTCCCTCCCTCCCTTCCTTCCTTCCTTCCTTCCTTCCTTCCTTCCTTTGTGTATACCACCCTTTATCCAGAGATCTCATGGTGGTTCACAGCACCACCACCACTCTGAACCACCCTCTGAATGTCCTGGAGACCAAACCCAACACATCCCAGGAAGAAGAAGTCCGTCTCTCTAGTCTCTGCAGTGACATGAAGGTCACCTCTAAGTCTTATGGCAACTGTCTTATGAACACCCCCCTGGAGGAGGGCATCTACCAAGGACAGAGCAGCCGACAGAGATGGAGGGGTCCTTGGACAGCACCTTGATCACCAATCCAAGCATCTGGCCTGGGAATTCCCCAACTGCTGTCTGCTCAGCTCAGCATTGCTCCCTGGGGCTCAGGGCCCGTCACCATGGGCTGCAACCTTCTCCCACCCTGGAACTGGACAAGTAGCCACTCTAGCATTGCCAGCTAACTCATCTTGGCAATGATGAAGCCAATTAATGTCAACATCCAGTTTCAATGGTGCATGGGATGCCTTATGCCAGCCTTCTCCAAACTGGTGCCCTCCAGCTGTTATATATTACATCTTCCATCAACCCCAGCCAAGTGATAAGAGTTACAGTCCAAAGCATCTGGAAGGCACTTGGTTGGGGAAGGCTGGCTTATGTCAACATTCCTGTGTGGATATTTCCATTGTCAGGCCAGCTGTGCAAATCCGTAACAATGTTCTGATGCAGCCAGTTCTGCAGTATGACAGTTAATAGGATTGCACATGGGTGATTCATCCCACAGAATCTTTAAGAAATATGATTTTTAAATTTATCCATTCAGCAATGTGGCTTCAACAAGAACTTAGATCATACCAATTTTTTTCCTCTTATTCAAATGAACATCTACAGAAAAAATATATATATACAGTGGTGCCTCGCAAGACGAAATTAATTCGTTCCGCAAGTCTCTTCGTCTTGCGAGTTTTTCGTCTTGCGATGCACGGTTTCCCATAGGAATGCATTGAAAATCAATTAATGCGTTCCTAGGGAAACCGCCTTCAGACCAGGTCCGGGGACAGTCTGTCCCCGGACCTCTTCTGAAGGCTGGGGGGGGGGGCAAGGGCTTTCTTCCCACCCCCAGCATTTTAAAAACCCGGGACAGCGGAGGACTTCTCCGCTGTCCAGGCGATCTTAAAATGCTGGCGGGCGGCATTTAAAATCACCCCGGGACAGCGGAGGACTTCTCCGCTGTCCGGGGCAATCTAAAGCCCCTGGGAAGGCAGGCAGGGGGACAAAGACTTTGCCCCCGCCAGCCTTCAGAAGAGGTCCTGGACCTCTTCTGAAGGCGGGCGGGGGCGAAGTCTTGCTCCCCCCGCCTTCAAAGCCCTCCGGGACAGGCAGGCAGGGGGAGCAAGACTTTCGCCCCCGCCCGCCTTCAGAAGGTCTTCCTCCCCCCGCCCGGCCGGGCACCGTTCCGGAGCCGGGCGGCGGCGGGAGGTCTTCCTCCCCCCGCCCGGCCGGAGCACCGTTCCGAGCCGGGCGGCGGGGAGGTCTTCCCTCCCCACCGCCCGGCCGGAGCACCGTTCCGAGCCGGGCGGCGGGAGGTCTTCCTCCCCCCGCCCGGCTCGGAGCACCGTTCCGAAGCCGGGCGGCGGCGGCTAGGTGTTCCCTCCCCCCGCCCGGCCGGAGCACCGTTCCGAGCC